ACGAGATCAGTTTGAACACTTTTGGAATAAAACTCAAAACATTGGCTTAGAACCTGAAAGAAAGAGAATTAGAATTGATAATGTCGGCGACAGAAAGACCTGCTATCGTCGATTATACGCCGACATTTTTTATAATATTTTACAAAAAATGAACTCTCGATTTCAAAACTTTAACGAATTAAAATTTGTTGAATTGTGTAATTTTAATATTAGTAACTATGATTCATCAAAATTTCCATCGGAAGCTTTTAAATCACTAAAATTAAATTATGGAATTTTTTTCGATATTCCAACATTAAAGTCCCAGTCAAGTGTTGTTTATGAAACAACTGAAATTACTGATAAAAAGACGCCCATCAATGTGTTAAATTTTCTTATAACAACTGGTTTAAACAAGTCCCTTAGTGAAGTCGTCAAGTTGTGTGAATTAGTACTAACCATCCCAGCTACAAGTGCGTCAGTTGAGTGAAGTTTATCAGCTTTAAAGCGCATTTAAAGTTTTATATGAAATTCAACAAGTGAAGACAGACTCTCTAATTTAGCCCTAATATCCATTGAAAAACAGCTTGTTAAACAGTTATCAGAAAATCCAAAATTTTACGACGATGTTATAGACAAACTGTGCGAAAAATGCTGGAAAAAATAAAAAAACTTCGGTTAAATGTTTTTTTTTACGTTTAAATAAACCAAGGAAGCTGTTCAATGGTAAGTTTTTTATGGTACAAAACTAGGTAATAAAGTAATAGTAACACTTCAAAATTCTCAATCTCGAATACGCGTAGTACTGAGGAAAAAAGCAAGATTTTGACAAAATGGTGAATGCGCCGCGAAAAATTTTCGCCTGCGGCGCTGTGCTTACTGGCCAGCTGTATTATTATACAATCGCTTCCCCTTCTAAAAATGTCACCGCACGCCACTGGTAATAAGTGAAGACGATGGTTAAATTGGTACCTATTTATTTATTGAAAATCCGACTTATAGATAATGAAATTTATAATAACATATTTTCTATTCTAGAAACTCCTAAAGTCATGCTTCTGTTAACTATACGATTTTTTTGCATAGGAATCTTTTAATAATTATACTACCAGCTACTTCTGTGGTGGCGGTGTGTCATTTTTCCCATTTCATACAAGTTTTCATCTTCACTTTAAGCTCGTTGCTTTTAACGAATATGTTTTTATAAACGTCAAACTGACATAGAGCATTCAGTTTTGTCAAAAGTCCCTCGATTCAGAACTACCAATATAAATTAAACTTAGATCACCTGAACTGTGATCAGAGCTGCAGTACTGAATACTTTATGTACTTAAAAAATTACTTAAGTACAAAATTACTTAAGTACCTGGCAAAATGCCTGTGCTTGTACTTACATTTTTAAGTTCTTGTTGTACAAACAATAAAATTTGGAATTAAGTACTTTTTTACTTAAAATAGTAAAGAGAGAAGGCAACTAAGTACTTATAACGTTCTTTAGTATGTCAATGTACTTAAATACCCAGAATGTACTTCAGTACTTCGAAAATTGTAACGGTTTTTTCTAGTTTCGACAGGATTTTTCTTCTTATTGCCGATCGAGCGCGTACGGAAGTCGGGACTGGGGCGCATTTTGCAGCCGTAAAAGCTTGTGGGTTAGTATTTTGTGCTTAAAGGAACGTGTGCTTATTTTGCAGGTCGTGTTTATGTGTATGTACTTGACTACGGTATGTATTTTTATTCTGTGGTATAAAAATTAAACATTAAAATGTAACTAACTATAAGTATTTTGAAAATACTCGAGAATAGTAATGAAATATTCTTTAAAATAAGATAAGAGTGGAAAATAATTTAATAATCTACACTAATATGTAATAAAAAATGCTCAGTGAACTGACTAATTAATCTAGGTCAAACCGTTTGAAGTAAAAAGCTGAATATCAGCATGCATGTTGATTGATAGGGTGTAGAGGTTTGTAATGAAGTCATTTTTCATTACTATTTTTTTTATTCAATTGCCGAATTAGTATTCTTAATAATGATTTTAACTTTCATTAGAATCCGGCATATCAATTTAATAAAATTAATTATTCGTTATTATTTTAATTTATAAATCAACTTTCTGGCTTCACCCTGTATCTATTATTTTGAAATATATAATAATCCGAAAATCCATAGTACTTTCACAATATAGCAATGGTTTTCAAAAGTCATTTTAAACCAGGGTTTTGAATATATATTATAGAAAATTGTAGATTTGGGAATTTATCCTTTTAATATTTTAAATGAGAACGAACGTTAGCACCCAGCACCGTGCCCCTTCTCGAATACCTTCTCCCTCTTAGGTTGATCATGCGCGGGATATTGGTAAATATTTTTCGAATCGAGATCGAGAACAGCGAGAGAGAAATTCATAATTCCATTCCGAGCGATCGAAAGAGTCGATAACTATAATACCTGCCGCGAGCCAAAACCGTTTTGTTTACCGCAGTAAATACAAAAAAAAAAACCGTTTTGATTTTTTGCCGTAGCATTTAGATTTAGTTAGAAAATAAAACCGAATCAAATTAGGTAGATTTAAACACCATTTGAGATTTACATTTTAACACGTAAATAATTTTGTTTGAAAATTCCGAAATTTAATAATTAAATTAACAGTCGAAGAATTTTTTTGTTTTAATATTGGCCGTGTTTATTTTTTTTTTAATTATTTTCTTAGAACGGTGAGGACTGCTTCAGATATAAATCGACTTTGAAAATAGAATTATTAAATAAGTAAATTGGGAATTAGAGTGTTTATTTCCTTTCGTTTTTTTTTAATTTAGATAGACTTTTAAAAAAATAGATTTGTTAAATTCCTAACCGTGAGAAATATGGGAACTGAATATTGTTTAATTTTTTATTTGTTTAGTTTGACTGTCCGGGATTTTGTTCTACCGAAGGAGAGGGTATCATTTCCTGTTTTGAATATAAAAATCTCCGTTCCTTTATTTTTCCTTCCTGGCTATTTCCAAATAACTCAGTGAGGGCTTAAGGTTCCCTATGTTAGTTTTCCTTCCTGGCTATTCCCAAATAACTCAGTGAGGGCTTAAGGTAATTGTATAAGTTGATAAAAAATGCTATGCAATAGCTTTACCGCGGCAGTCCCCGAGTGCCACACGTATTTTTTTTTGTTCTTAAAATATACCCCATTCGGGATTTTACATAGGAAAGATATTTGCCGCAACACATACGAATGTGCCCCACATACCATAAATCTCATTGCAACTTCTAATTACAAAAATTCGGTAAATGGTTTATTGCCTTTGCGACAAAAAAACACAAATATTTTCCAAATTTTGAAGTTGTGGAATATTAGCGGACGGCCGAAATCGGCTGAAATTAAACAAGAACTTGGACATAAGTCCTACACGAGTTACCAGATGGAATTCCACTTATGACGCTGTCGTCCAAATTGTTTCCGTCAAAGATAAGTTAGGAGTTCTATGTAATAAACTTATGATTCCGGTATTTAAGGAACATGAAATATCCTTTTTAGAGGAATATATATCAAATTAATGCAGCCTCTGGCTGAAACATTAAGATTTTTACAGGGAGAACATAACACCGATTATGGATCTGCTTCCCAGCTTAGTTTCGATGAAAACTAAACTTCAAAAGCTGAAAATATCAAGCGATATAAAACGGCTAACAGTGTCTTTAGAGGCCATAATTAAGTCTGTTTTGCAAAGATTTAAAGAATGTTTAACTCTTAAGTCCAGAATCCAAAACTGCCGTAATTGGCGCCGTAGTGTGCCTACGATTCAAAATGCGCTGGTATAACGCCTTAAAGACTTAAATGTTACCACATACAAAGAAATACAAAACTGGGTAGTCTCGACTTTATCAGCCAGGAAAACAAAATAACTATATCCAGTCAGACGATCCTTTTTTTGATTTTGAGGAAAAAGAACAAGAGTCTGTGTCTTTATTAAGTAAACTACCGGTACCAAATACCAGCACAATGACTTCTAACTCCCTAGCTGAATTATAAGTACTAAAATACCTAAACGACAGTAGAACTAATTTAGACATGCTAAACGATTATAGGTATATAAAGTTAGTTTTTATTAAATACAATACGATCCTGCCATCTTCCGCACCAGTCGAAAGGCTTACTTCTTCTGCTGGAATTGTTAATACGCCACGTAGGCATGCTTTGAGCGACTATAATTTTGAAAAACTAGTTCTTAAAGGAAATTGTAATTATTTAGACTCAAGATCCAAATAGATTTGTTAGCAGTAATAGTACTGATGTATTTATAAGTTTTTGTGATAATCTGTTCTTTTTTTATTTTGTTAATAAAAGAATATTTATTTTACCGTGTACTATTTTATTTTTAAATTATACCTAAAATATAAACTGTTTATTAATAAATACTTTATTACCAATATCTAATATTACTAATCCCGGTTAGCAATGATATTTTAATTTAAATTATGCTGACTTAGGCCTTTAAGCTTCACACCAGCATAGATTCTCCATTATTTTTTAATAATTAAGTAAACACAAATGTACTTAAGTGTTTTGTAAGTACTTATTTAAATCTAAATATACTTAAGTTCATCTGTAGAAATATACAATGTATTTAAGTACCTACATTGTACAGAAGTATATTTCAGAAGTTAACTAGTCTATAAAGTACTTAAGTACGTTTTTATGTACTTAAGGCTAATGTACTTAATTTTTAGGATTAATTACTAGGAACTTAAATACCAAATAGAAGTAATTGTACTTGGGACTTAAATACATTTTACTTGTACTTACAGCAGCTCTGACTGTGATATTGACATGATTGAAAAACGCTATTAATGTTAATAATCTCAGTTCTATATTTGATCCAAGTTCGGGTGAACGAAAGTTTAAACTGTGATTGTAAAACTGGCTCTAACACTCTGGTACAATATTTAATATACCTGACTCTAAGTTGTTGTGTTGCAGTGTTAAGTAATTAATTGGATGGGATTTAACAAAACACGTTTGCTTTAATAAAATGTAACAAATATAATTGTGAAATTAAGCAATAAAAAATATTTCACACTTACAAATGAATTAAAAAAGGAACAATGGTAATTTATTACAAATAAAAAAAAACGTATAAACTATACCTTAAACTACATCGTAACATTAGAAAAATAAGTAAAACTGAAAAACATATTAAATACCCAATTGGGGTTGCTGTTGATGGCCGAACACAATTTTAAAAATCTCGTCAACATTTGCAACGAAATGTACTTCGAGGCCTTCAGTTATGAAATTTGGTAAGTCATTAAAATCTTTTTTATTTTCTTCTGGAAGAATTATGCATTTAATGCCCGATCTCTTTGCCTGAAAAATAAAGAAAATAATTGGAATTATCTACTGCAATTAAAAGACAATATAAAATATTAGAGATGGGTCGCTTTGAAAAGTTCCACGGACAAGTCCGACGGACTAATCTGAAAAATTGACTAGTCCAAACACACTCTTCAAAAGTGGAAAGTGTATTGCGCATGCGCGAAATTAAATTAACTAATTCGTCTGAATTATTTACAAAGGCAAAATTTAGTTTAAAAAAGAAGAAACAACAAATGTTTACTGACATGTTTTAACGATGTTTTCGAAAGTTCGTTTCATATCTTATTAAAATAAACTCGTTAAAAAATTACCAAAAAAAATCCAAAGGTTGGAGGTATTTTACAAATCATTTGCCAAAAAAAAAACGGAAATACATATGCAAATATTGTTCCCAAAGTGAAAAAAAAAAAAAACATCCAGGAAGATTTAACACTGTGTCTTCTATGCTCAAGGTCGATAACTTTTCATTGTAACTTTTCACTACATGTCCGTCGGACTAGTCCAAAAATTACTTTTCATGAAAAGTCCCATCTCTACAAAATATTGAAATTTATATAAAATTGAAAATCTGTTCTCGAATTAAAACAAAACTACCATTTCTTGGAAGAAGTCAAGTTTTTTAATCAAATTGAAAAACATTTAAGGCACGTCTACTATTTGGCTAGGAAGGATTTTTTAAGGCATTTACATATTAAGGTTGGGGTTACGTGGAAATTGGCGCGAATGAAATTCATGTAAAAACATTGACCCTGGCTGTTCTATTCGTTTAAAAAATACATGATTTTGGTTCTCAAATTTGTTGACAATAGTTGAAATTATCGGTTAAGTTGAGAGATAATTTATATTCCGAAAATCAACTAAAAAGTAGTCAAATGAATTATTGAAAATATAATAAATTTATCACACTGATTATTGTAGCCTAATTTAAATTATCTTAATTTTTAAATTCAACTAAACCATTACCTGTAACTTATATTGCAGTTGGGGATGGGCAATTGTCCGGTCAAATTGGGACAAAATTTATAAAATAATCAAAAATATTTTATTTGAGTTTTATTATGTTACATGTCAATATTATAGTGTTTTCGATTCGCAAGCACTGACAAAACACACTTGGTGCATAATTATTCTGCATTCAAATTGCATTCGCACCGATAAAATGTCAATTTAGTGTCGCCCTGCACGCGCGCAGTTCATAAATCGCACTCGCTCGATGAGAGTGCACTTTTGCACTAGCCATTCTTGACGGTGCAGAAAAAAATATTGATTATTATTATATAATTTATTTTAGTCAAATGACAAAAAAAATAGACCTGTCAAATCCACAACCCTAAATTGTAGTATCTTCTGTACAAATATTGATGCCAATAGATATGTAATAACTATACAATTTGGATGTTGCATTAAAATAATCAGATTTAATAACGACCTCCATTGTCAGTCCATTTTAGTAACTAGATTGTAGTTGAAGGGTATCACCACCAGAGGGCTTCTTAAATTTAGTAAATAATCTGTCAGTTAAGATATAAATCAATAAATTTCACAAAATGTTCCAGTTTCAAAGAGAGTTGGGCGATATGTCAAATATTTATTTAAAAACTGAAATTAAACAAAATTTGAGGAGCTGCATAACTAGTACTGAGCTTAAGATTAATAATATCTCTGGTATACAACAAGTGGAGAACTGGACCTAGTACATTACCTTGAGGTACTCCTGCCTTACTTTCTCTTAGGTCGGAATAGGTTTCTTCTTGTTTAATTCTGAAATGCCTTTCTGATAAATATGATTTTAATAGTTCAGAGTATTGACGTGGCAGGAACATGTTCAGTTTTTGAATCAGGCTTTCATACCATACTTTTTCGAAAGCCTGAGCCACATTCAAAAGGACGATGGAGCAAATTTTTTTCTTCTAGGGACTTCTCGATGAAATTTCGTGCTTCTATAAACTTGGTCAATGGTCGAGTGTTTTTCTCTGAAGTTAAACTGGTGGGAGGGTATTAGAGCATTTTCTTTTATTATAGGTTTCAATCTCTTAAGAAGCAATTTTTCATTGAGTTTCGAGATAACAGGTAACAAGGAGATGGGTCTGTACGATGGAACTTCATGGGGAAGTTTACCTGGCTTAGATATCATTATAACTTGTGCCACTTTCCACATCTTTGGTACGAACTTTAGTCTAAAGGACGCATTGATAAGATTGGTCATATTGACAATAGCTTTCTGTGGAAGAAACATTTTCAAAATTTCCCCAGTAATGAAGTCAAATCCAGGGGCTTTTTTGGATTTATATTTGTTTGCATTTCCATATAAACTTCTTTTGAAGAGGTAGGTTTAACGACTGCGTCTTTTTGTACTATTTCCATCCAGTCTTGAAGAGCTTTACCATTATTGGGTTGAGAGGTACTCTCTAAATGTTCCGCAAATCTGATTTTTGCAAAATGTTTCGGGCCCAGCTTCCATCTCTATTTATGATTGGTGGGTTATGTATAGTAGGCCTTTTTAATCGTTTGGTAGCTTTCCAAAGTGAATAGTCATTACTTATATCGTTAGTTAAGTCGCTTAAGTATTCGTCAATCCACTCATTTTTAATGCGCCGTATTTCACGTTTTAGCTGTTGTGTTGCATAGTTTAAAGTTGTTTAATCATCTGGTGCTATAGACTGTTGTCATTTTCTTCTAATTTTCATTTTTTCTGAGATAAGATTTCTGATCTCTTTTGGATAATTATTACTTTGCACTGTGCATTTAATCTCGGAAGTGTTTTCCCACGCTGCTTGTTGAATATTTTTGACAAAAACTTCAACTTCTTGGTCTAATTGTTCCTCAGTTCTTAATGTAATTGAGAGATTGAGTTCTTCTATTCTATTTCTGATTTTGAAGGTTTTCCAGACTGTGCCTTTGTTGACTCGTTTAGGCAAATTTTCTTTTTTGATTTTAGTATCGCTCAATGAATTAAATTATTTTTATTACAATTAAAAAATCTCTTCTACCGATTCAATACAGTATTTTTGTAGTTACATGGACAGGCCCGGCCGAAGATAAGAATACTATAAAGTACTATGAAGGTGTTTTAACTCTACGAAACAAAAATACTAAAAATGATAAAATTGATCACAGTACGAGTAAAAAAAAATAGTTTGTTCGTGTCGTTCTGGCAAAAAAAAAACCGGCGATTTAATTTTAACCTATATAACAGATTAAAAAATGACAATGGATTGAAATGAGTTTGAATCCGCATCGCTCTAATAATAGAAGCAATACTTACAGCTATAGTTTTTTCTTTAATTCCTCCAACCGGTAGAACTTTTCCCATTAGCGATATTTCACCTGTCATGGCTACGTCTTGTCTGATCGATTCACCTTTGGCTAAAGATAATAATGCTGTAACTATAGTGCATCCAGCGCTAGGTCCGTCTTTTGGTGTCGCTCCTTCTGGTACGTGTAAGTGTAAATGACTGAAAGGATAAAACAAAATGATATTTATAAGTTTTACAACTTACCAAACCAATTTTATCGAACTGTATTAATCTTCTATTTTATGGTTGAAAACATTTTGTAATTGACAACAAATAGATAAAAAAAAACTTAAATCAATAATACCACATTAGGTATTTGATATTACAAATGTAGATGCTGTAACCTACCGCACCCAGGTACCTACCATAATAATTTATTAATTTCATTTTATTAAAGAAAAGTTGCATTCTCATTAAATTCAAAATCCTTCATTTAAAAAAATCTCCCAGATAATTAAATCTTATTTACGACACCTAATAAATAATAAGAGATCCAATTTCTTACAAGTGTCTGGGAACGCAATTTGACACCACCATACAACATAAGTTGCCACGAAGTAATAATCATTAAAACTCTTACCGCACTTATCTTAAGTCAGTTTTGAATAGGAACGTTGTTTTCGATACACAAACTTTTCAAGGCAAGTAATACATCAGACACTCCCTATTCGCCCAAATTCGTTCACTGACGACACCAAAAAACTAATTAAATCGAGTATAAAGATCCGATTAAAAGGGACTCGAGAGGCATTAAGAAATCAGACTCAGTTCAGTTGATTTCGAGCTCCAGTCGTATATTCTTCGAATCTAATAAAATTAAAGTTCATTATCTTTCCTAAACCCACGCAGTTCATATCCTAACTTTATCCGACGCTGTTTAGCCGACCACCTACCTGCCAAACGTTCCCACGTCTCGACGCTTAACGTCATCTCTTTTATCCGACGTCTCCATCCGACGCCCTACGTCCTTACTTATCTACCTTCCTGCGTTTGGCGTTCTGCGTTACGACGCTCCCTCTCCGTCACGTCTCAACGTCCCTGCTAATTATCCCGAATACAAAAATATAAAATGTCTGAAATAGAAGCAGACGATAATATAAACCCAACGTTCTGCTTATCCGATGGTGAGTTAATAACAACCAAATTAAATTTGTAAAAATGGGAATTTATTGTTGAATAATAATATTATTGTATAACTCATTATTATTCAATAAAGGTAAATCTTTACATTTGAGGAATTTGTTGCTCGCCGACATCGCATTTAGCTCGTCCAGATGCGTATGCTATGGGTCATATTGCCTTAAAATAATATATCACCGTAAAAGATAATAAGAGTCTGGCTACCGAACTGTCAATGAACCCTCGCAAATATCTACTAACTACTAGCTCAGCTGATTGGGGTAAATGACACATCGGACGACTAGACTCACATTTATCCGAATATGCTTGATGTTACTACAGGGTTGGACTATCTTAGATAATTATCTCCCAATCTTCGCACCGTAGGTAGATCTGAACATAAGGGGTAGTTCGCTAGTATTGATCTGGCACTATTTTAATAGGACTACATCTACATAAAACCCCCCTAGGTGAGGCTGAAACATACGGGATATCCGCCAGTTATTTCAACAACGGTATCTCAGTAAGCGCACCTATATAAAAAAGAAAACAACGAAACAAAGAATTATTAAAGATAGTGCTGAGGACGTCTGTCTATTCTCAAGAATTGTTTTTATTACAAATAGTTGATGACAAGTGGCCTGTTGTTTGGGCGAGACACATGTGAGGTCTACCGTATATTAAAAGCAATCTGTACATACTGAGTTTATTGGAGATCAAAAATAAATTAAGTTAAATATATTTGGAGCATTATTTCATTCACAAATTTGTACCAAACATTGCATCGAATCCTGGTTTATCTTAATTAACATTATAACAACGTGGGTATATAATAATAATAATAATAATAATTAATAATAATAATAAAGGTCTTTATTTTCCTTTCAAGTTACATAACTATTTACAAACATTATGAAAAAAAAAAAAAAACAATCGTAACAAAGCAAGAAAGGAAAAATGCCGAAGATCAGGTGACGATAATTTCAATGAAATCATCGCCTCTGTTTTTCATCTTAAGCATAAATTATCAATTAATTAACTAGACGATCAGAGGAAAATAACATATACAGTAAATATGAATTTCTTTGAATTCCACAAGGGGAGGGAGGGAGGGAGGTAGTTAAATTAGAATACGGGCTTTTAATAATTAGCTACAAGACCGGGGGGTGGGCGGTCTCAGTACCTTTCCTAAAACGCTCTTCCTAACGACGTCTATCCTACAATACCTCCTATCCCCGAAGGTGTCAACGTCTCGACGCCCAACGTACTGCCGTCCTACTTCCATACATTTCTACGCTATCACTTCTAACGCCACTTTAGTATTTCCTACCATTATATTTATCCCGACGCTCAACGTCCAGACGCCCTACTTCCCTACCTATCTACGCCTCGAACGCTGTCATATTCCGCACCATCTAAGTTACATTCATTCCGACGCCCAACGTCCCATCGTTCTACTTCTCGACGCTTGCCGCCCCTAAATATTTCCTTCATAATATCCTTGTCGACACCCTTCGTCACGTCCCGCACCACCTAAATATTTCCACCGTATATCTGTCCCATGCAGTACCGTATTAAATACCTTCCTTTCCACCACGACGCAAGGCGACGCTCAACGCTGCGACGTATCTAAATCGACGCCGTCACAACGCTAGATTAAATTAGTACAACAGGCCATTTGCCATTAAATATTTGTAATAAAACCGATTCTTGAGAATAAACAGCAGACGTCCTCAGCACTATCTTTAATAATTCTTTGTTTCGTTCTTTTCTTTTTTATATAGGTGCGCTTACTGAGATACCGTCGTTGCAATAACAGACGGATATCCCTTATGTTTCAGCCTCACCTAGGGGGGTTTTATGTAGATGTAGTTCTATTAGAATAGTGCCAGATCAATACTAGCGAACTACCCCTTATGTTCAGAACTACCTACGGTGCGAAGATTATGAGATAATTATCTAAGATAGTCCAACCCTGTAGTAACATCAAGCATATTCGGATAAATGTGAGTCTAGTCGTCCGATGTGTCATTTACCCCAATCAGCTGAGCTGTTAGTAGATATTTGTGAGGGTTCATTGACAGTTCGGTAGCCAGCCTCTTATTATCTTTTACGGTGATATATTAATTTGAAGGCAATATGGCCCATAGCATACACATCTGGACGAGCTAAATGCGATGTCGGCGAGCAACAAATTCCTCAAATGTAAAGATTTACCATTATTGAATAATAATGAGTTATACAATAATGTCTATATTTTCAATGGTGAGTCAAAAGATTTATGTAACTTTCTTTGAAATACCAGATAACCAACTGGCGAATTGGCGATGTTAGTTACTTTCGTTGGTATACTCGTCGATATTTTTACCTAAGAGGTTGCAACCTGTGTATATCTAGAATAGAATCAAATCAACATCAACACAGTAGCTAACCAACTGGCGAATTTGCGCTGTTCGTTAACTCCGTTGGTCATCAACCTAAATAAGAATATAAACATCAACACAGTAGTTAACCAACTGGCGAATTCACGCTGTTCGTTAACTCCGTTGGTCATCAACTTAAATAAAATATATCTTGATAGCAAATGAATGTGCTCTGCGTTTGAACGGGACACAAGTGAGATCTCAATAAATAGTACCAATTGTAAAATACTTTGTTAATTATTGCATCACATTTAAAGTATGAAAAATAAGAGTTTAAATATAAATTTGTCTGGTTTTATTTATCAATTTGCACCAAACTTTGCATCGAATCCTGGTTTACCTTAGTTAACATATCATAACGTGGGTATATAAATTATCAATTAACTAAACGATCACTTCTACTACTAGAGGAAAAAGGCCAAATACAAGTATAAACCAAAATAAACTTGTGAGGTAAATAATAACATTTCACAGAGTAAAACAACGATCAAAATGGGGTACCGGGGGGTGGGTCGTCACAATGCTACTAATTTCTGTTAACTCACCATCATCAGGCCTATAATACAAAAACTCGAAAATAGGATGGCAATTTTAAATTATAATACCTACAATATACGAGTAGGTATAACAAAACTAATTAAAATAATATTATTAACCCTTAACTGATATCACTCAGTACCCTCTTGAGTCGAAACCATTTCGTTGGTGCCTGACGGGCGAAAGTTTAAGTTGTACCGTTTTGAAGATATAAGCCCTGACCCTAATATACAAGTAATGTTCTATTGAATGATGGTGATTAGAAGAACCAAGATCGTCTGAAATTTTTGAATGTTTGCATCAAATGGAGAGTTTGAAGTCCTTTGTGTCATGCGAACTAACTATTGCACCAATACTGACTTAGAAATAAGGAATAGGGCATAACCATCCAGTCTAATTTATATACTCCATTTTTTTTTTCTATTTGAACTGGAAATTTGAGATTTTGCTTTCTTGTAAATGTTACTACTTTACACTCAGAGATATCACATCCAAATTAAATTGTAGTGTTATACAATCATTTCACTTAGTTATTTGAAGGTAGATTTTTAAATTATCTGCCTGAATCCAAATAGCCCATCTGATCATTAAGAATGGCAGTGGCCCTAGATTTAAACTTAGAGGAATGCCTGATTTTGACAAATATTTGTGTGATAAATCGCCATTGTAAAAAACAAATTGCTGCCTATATTGAAGGCAGGACTGGACGAACTTTAGTAAAACAGAAGAGAAACCAAACTATCGAAGGCCTTTGAAAAATCGGTATATATCACATATAACAACTAGTTAGTTGCTGGATTATTGTAAGCAAATTGGTTTCGGTTGATTTCTTGCTCAGGAATCCATGTTGTGAAGGTGATATTAGGTTACAAATAGACAGAGTCGATTACAGAGAACCACTTCAAAAATTTTGAGAAAATATACACAAATATCTTGTTGAAAACTCAATATTCTTCATTAAAAAATTAAACATACACTATTATTTTCACGCGGATGGGGGTACCCAATAGGAAAAAACCTTTATTATTAATTTTACGTCCAAAAGTCATTCTTTATAAAAAGTTCTGCTTGTTGAGAAAA